TTAAAAATTCTTTCACCAAAAGGAAGCTAAATTGCTGGTGAGTAACATGGGCTACTTTGTACCGTGATAGCCGACATACAAGCGGGCGGAGCCGAGGGCAAAAACTAGTATTACTTCATAAACCTACTGTAGCGCCTCTATAATGTTTGCAGAGGCAAGACTAAACACATTTAATGCCATCCAAAGAAGCCGAATCGCAGCGTATATGGCTGGGTTGGTACGTGTAGGAACAGTATAATTAAGGAACTTGCTGACAGGGTGTGTAACAGTTCCATGTTTATAAAATGGTTACTGATAGCTACATAGATAATTGGCACTAAAGTTGATGTTAAAGAAATATGTTAAATTGTGCATATTGTATACAATATTATATGCACAGACGAATCTCAGATTTTTTTCTGAGTGAGAGAGAGAGAGAGAGAAATGTGTACTTGCCATAGGGACATTTAATTTTAAATTAAGATTACCTTCTCCGTAAAATTGACGAGCCTGGTGATCTAGTGGTTAGTGACCCTGACTGCTATGCCAGAGATCGTGGGTTCGATTCTCACCCAGGACAAACATTGGGTGATGAGCACGATCATTGTTCTGTGTCTAGATGTAATTTATCTATAATATGTAGGTATGTAATTTGAAAGATATATTTAATTATGTTTGTCACCAGGGCCTCAATTCTGCTATTTTATGTTTACGCCGAGGCACTGTCAGACCACTGACACGCTATTGAGATGCCATCGAGTGGCCATTGGCATCGGTATAAATATCGGTAGTTGAAAATATAATACGTTTTTTGAGGAAATGATTTATTTATTTTAATTATAATAAATTATTAAAATTAATAAATAAATTAAAATAATAAAATTATAAAAAAAAACAAATAAATTATTAAAACAAAAATAAAAAAAATATTAAATTAATCAATCATTTCCTTATAATTTGAAAATATATTACGTTTTTGGAGGAAATGATTTATTTATGTTTATTATAATAAATTATTAAAATAAATTATTGAAAGAATAAAATATAAAAATAAATAAATTATTAATATAAAAATGTGAACATAAAATAGCAGAATTGAGGCCCAGGATGGTTACCATAATACAGGCTCTGTCATGTTTGGGAACCGACGGACGTGTGTGAGATGTGTAAAGTTATAATTATAGTAAATATGTGTAAATTATTTTTAAATATGTTATTATTTTAAACCATTTAGTGAAAGGTTATTTATATACTTTGTACTATATCTGTTGGTTGTGGTTATATACTTTGTACTATATCTGTTCTATTATACTTGTGTACATTGCGGGTATTTTACTAGAAGACAATACAAATTTTAACTAACAACACTTTAATACTAGATGAAAGGTTGACTAAATTAAGTATAATGCATATTATTAACAAACCACTGATATAATTATTGTGATGCTTCACTTGTTTGTCAATTAAAAACAGCTGTATTAATAACTCTTAACCCCATTTGGTGTCTTAAATTTGTAACTAGAGGGAAGTTAACTGACTCTAAACTCGTCAAAGCTTTTGTTTTTGCCTGTCAACCTGTCTGTTATGAGGCGCGGTTGGTGTGTCGGAATCGAACTGACTAAAACGCTGGAGAGCGTGCTTTCACTGCCCGGTTATTGAGTCTCCGTCATTGATTTATCTGAAAATGTTCAAATAAATGGGAAATCCTAAAAGGTTTTGTTACTTAGAAAGACACGGGTCAAGCACGGTAATATGAAACGTGTAATAAAAAGTAATGCCCACAAACTGAATTGGTTTTATACAGCAATCAGTTTCCTTTCTTCAGACTATCATCAGTCACTAAATCAGTTATATATACCAAAATATAAACATTGACAATCATAGTATAGAAAATGTTACGACTTCGAAGTTCCTCGGGTTAACGATAGATAAAAAACTAGATTGGAAATCACATATAGAGACGCTTTGTATGATGACCGCATACTACGGTTTAGTTGCCTCAAATTTACGCTACGGCATCATTTTCTGGGGTAACTCTACAGATACATTAATTGCTTTTAAGTGTCAAAAGAGATGCATACGGTCAATGTTTAAACTAAAAACAAGTGATAGCTGTAAAACTTACTTTCAGAAGTATAAAGTATTGACGTTGCCAAGCATTTATATTTTGGAAATGTCAATGTTTGTTAAAACAAATCCAGGCTTATTTCCGCGGCTTGAGGATACGGTTACACGGAACAGGCGTGATAATAGTAGACTGCGCCTACTCCAAGCAAAAACTGTGCTTATGCGTAGAAGTGTTTTCTGTATGGCTCCAGTAATTTATAACCATTTACCGCAACAATGGAAAAACTTGAGCATAAGTGCATTCAAGAGCAAGTTAAAAGAATTTTTAGAAATGAAAGCATACTATTCTGTAACTGAGTTTTTAACGGAGAAAATATAATAGAATGCATGTTTTTAATAACTACACCATACCCTCTATTAATACACTTTTTTAATAAATGTGATACATTGTTTATTATGATTATGACATTTTTCATTTTTTTAATAATATAATTGTAATTGTTATTTTAATTGATATTGACATAAAATAGAATTCTGACCTCGTATGATGTATTAAATAAGCCCAACTCGTTATTAATGTTATCTTATTGCATGTGGCTAAAGGTAGAATGTGGCAGAAAAAAATATTATAACTGTAACACCTAATTGTAAACCCATGTTCGCAATGAAAATAAACTGATTGATTGATTGATTGATTGATTGATCATTTCTAAAAAAAAACAAGTTTAATAAAAACATCCTAAGGCGATCCAGGTTACTTTTAAAACCCTAGACAGCCTTTAATCTTATCACAGAAAAAAACTTCATTATTTAGCACCATAGCAAAATTTAAAAAGTTTATTATTGTATTAAAGCTTAATTTCATTAAGATTCATTTTTTTAAGTACTTATCCATTGTATGCACTTTAAGGGTTAACTCTTTAATGATAAATAGTTTACCATTCTGGTAAATAAATTACATTTATCCTAATTACTTCTGACTGGCTTTTTAACCTCAGAATATTGCAGGTAAAGTTTTGTGAATCTTAACTTATGGCTCAGGATTGTCTACACAGAATTTATGTACCATAAGTTGGATAAGAGGTACAGAGTTATCTTCAAGACTTCATTAGTACTTAGAGTTGGAACTACGCAGTTACGAGAACAAGTATTAAGCTCGTCTCGTCTTAGTGAACTTTGACATTTTAGAAATGCCTTGGATTTTACTTCCGTGTATAAATTTGTGTTAGAATTTTATCATGTTAAATTTTGAGCGCATAACATAACTTTATATATGAATACTCAAGTGCAATGATGCCCTAGTATCAGAATAAAAACATTTATTTTGTTGGGTATTCAATTTTTACTAATTAATAACAGATGACGGGACGTGAGTCAGTTATTTGGTGACGCACATGAATAATGAAACGAGGTTTTGAAATTCGTTTATGTTACGCTGATTAATACTTTTAATAACCATTCTCTAGCATAAGGGTCGTATATTGATGTTACCTAGCCTATAACCTTTTACTCTAACCAAAATAGGAAGATTTATTTAAATCTGACTAATAATTCTAAAGATCATTCGTAACAGTGAATATAATATCACCATATTCTGAAAATATAAAATTGAATAGCAGAACTTTTTTTTTATTTTAAAATTAACGCGTAAACTTTTTAGGAAACCGTTGCTGCTGGGTCAGGTTCAAAGAATGGGTAAATAATTCATTTACGATTTCAATATTTATTCATATGATTGCTTACGCGCATTGTGATTAATCTCTTAAGAAGAAAATGCCCAGTCACTAAATATTTTTTAATCAAAGTCCGCGTTGCCGTAATAAAAACCAACACAATAGAACACAAAAAATCTGAAATCTGAAACGAAATGGGTAGGGGTGTTTCACGGAAGTTCTATTACCGATAAATTTCCTGAGGAAAGCGTGGTCGCTTTGTTGTCCCGGGGTAACCCTAATTTGTTTTGATAGAGTTTCACACAATGGTATTTATTACGTATCGAGACATAATGGGTTTCACGTGAAATCACAGCTGCTAATCTTAGTTCAGTATTTAGATATTAAATATTGTTTATTCATATTAAGAGTCGTAATCCAAGCCATTATTATTTTACCTTCATTTGTATTTTGTTTAATATTTGATACGTTTATGTAACCACAGGTGATATCCTACTGTTTTTAAAAGAAGACGGTTACCGAAGCAGGTTTAACTAAAAACGCTTTTAAAAAAGTATAACCTGTAGTAATGTGATTCTCTAAGAGTATGATGATAGGAATCGAATGCAGGAGTCCTGATGTTTAGCGACACCAGACTTTTTCTGGTTAGGTTAACTAAAAAGAAATCAATAAAATATCATTGATTTTAAACTAAATACTATTAGAATTATTTAAGACATATGGCCATCCTGACGTTGGTCATTAGCTCCTATCTGCCATCTTATTTAAATTAAATAAAAAACTATAATTACACAAATATTCAAATTCTTTTTTTTTTAAACAAAGTCTATCCTAAAAGTACCACAGCATAACTTTTGTAAATAAAATAAAAATCTTATTTATGTCAAAAATAGCTAATTGAAGACATGGGCAACATTGACAAGCTTTTAAACCTGACGTATTGGTATTTTTCTCGCTTTGCTAGTTCTTTAGAGATCGCACTAGGTTGAATCAATTGAGTAAAAGTATTATTTTTTTGTAAGAAAAACTTTTCTTAAACTATGTGTCCTATAGAACCCGGTCTATTATATCCAAACAACTTTCTTACTTCTTTCTTCCTAAAGGTGAGGCCACATTTGGCACTACTGTGATCCCTTTGTACGTAACAATACTACTACATAACAGTCATTACGTTACATTTGAAATCCCTCTTTATTTATTTTCGTCATTTTCCTTTAATGTGGTCTCACCTTCATTGAGCATGTCACTAGAATTCAACGAAATTGACTCATTGTACGTTAGTTACAGAGTCGTGTTGGAGGTGGCTGGCAATTCAGATGCGGTCATATTAAGCGGTTTGGAAGCCGACACGCAGTATCAAGTAACAGTCGCCGCTCTTTGGGGCGGCCACAAGTACAGAAGTAGGCCTATTGTCTTCCGCACTCTGGGTAAGTTGAATAACTTTATTTTATTAAAGGTAAACGGTTCGGATCCTGCCTTACACTATCGAAGTAGATGGTTTTAGACCTTAATAAACAGCTACCATTATGTCGAAAACGAAAAATCGGTCATCTGCCAATGAGTGAAGCCGTTTATTATTAGTGAATGTGAACAGCACTCACGAAAGTTACATTCTGAATAACTTCTGCTTAAAATAAGTACAGATATACCTACACTATATCTACACACTATATTTTACACACAATATATTTTTTGTATTTTATTTACCTAAATGGCAAAAAATAAACTGATTGTCAAACTGACATACTTTTTAGCATTAAAACGCAGAAGCAATCTAGGCAAATAACAAACTCACAGCAAATCGAAACGCATGTGCTGATGGACTCCTATCTTAACAGCAAGAGATATTATAATTAGGTGGTAAGTTTCCATTAAAAATAGTAATTAAATGCCATAATTAGAAAATAGTTGACTATCTTCGAACGGCAAATCAGACTTTCTTGAGTTACAACTGAGAACATTGAAATCAAAAGCTCCTATACATTTAGGAGCTGTATTAATGTCAGACACACAGACACATGAGTTTTCACTCTATTAAATCAGTAAAACTATTAACAAATTAAAGTCCATCATCTTTAATTGCTCTATTTCAACATTTTCTTATTTCAAGTCTTCATCAAGCATTGTAGACTTGTATGAAATATTTAAAATAGTATATTTTTAATGGTAAATATTTATATGCCAATATAAATAACTACTGTACAACAGAACTAGTAGTAGTAAGTACGTGCACACTTACAAAAATAAAAAAAGACGACCTTAAAGACCATTTCAATTCATAAAACGTCGCCATTTGCAATTAACCTTATAATCTATGCAAACGCTTGAATAAAATAGGAGTTGTTTCACGCCAAATTTTGATTGAACAGTGACGGGATAATTCAGGTCAAAAATTATTTATTTAAATGTTTTTTTTTTTACTATTATTTTACTCTTTGATAGAAAACTTTTTGATGAAAGGGCTACCCTTTTAAAGAGAGAGAGCCCTTCACTAAAACATAACATGAACTTGTGGCGAAAGAATGATTTCACATTACACGTACCCACTTTAATTCGCTCTCAGTGTCATATTTTGACGTATTCCAAATAGCATCACTACTTTAAAAACGTTAACGGTCTTAAATGCTATTTATTAGGTTGAAAAACGTCTGAATTAGAAGCACAGGAACTCAAGTTGCAAATGTTACTAATTTTCACTATATACGAGTATATAACGACTACTAAACGCACATCGTCAATTGCGGGCCGATTATATACCTACCCTCCCCTGTTGTGTTTTTGAAGTCGGTTAAAAAATATTGATTACGACTTCTTCCAGCTCTTCTGTTTTATCTTCTTTTAGTAAAACTTGATGCAGAGAGTTATCATCCAGCTCTGGAATGTTTATACGCAAACAAAAAAAAAAATGGGAAAACACAAAAATCCATCCAAAATAATTTATTCCGAATTTCAATGTTACGATTTTCAAACGTCCGAATGTAATACCTAAGAAATATAATGTCTATTATTAAAATTCACGAAATTTTAGTTTATCGAGAGTCGTAAATACGATTTGTTTGTTTTCCGATTTTATACGTTCGAAGAATCAAAAGCTCGATGGGTTGTCGGTCCGAAACACGACATTCCGATTTTCAATACTTCAAATAAACTCCTAAATTTAGGATTCTAATTCAGTTAGTATACCTAATACTCAGTTACGCATATACATATATTCAAAATCTTTATGTAACGTTTAATATAATTTAAAAACGTCTACTTTGTTATTAATATTTGTGTTTTTTTGTATTTTATTCTTCTCCTTATATATACTTAAATATTTTTATGTTTGAATTTATGATATTTCAAATTATCATTAAGTCGTACTTTTTGTTATTCGGTCTATTGAAATTCATTATTTTGAGCATATTAATTATAAACGTTAAGAATATTGAAATTCTTAAACCATAAAAATAGGTTGAATGATAAATCGGGCTTGTTATTATTTGTTAGTAACTCAATTATCCCAGATCGTTCAGTGTTTAATTTATCATTATTTATTGTAACGAAGTTTCTTATCGCGAGTTATACGCTCTGAGCCGATGGGAGTGAGACCGGAAAATGTGTAAAAAGACTTTTTAAAGCCACTTCAGTTGGCACGCCGACCCTCACATCTTTTTCATATTTCATATGTATCAAACGTCTACCAAAAAGTGAAAGGAACTTCGTTCCGACTGGGGGTCCATAGACCCCTCACGACGTATTTTTATACTTACATAATAAATATATTTTATCATAAATTTTTGAATTTAACTTTATTAACTTGATATTTTAAAACAGAAATTATAATGACTGTATATCAAACGTCTACCAAAAACTGAAAGGGACTTCGTTCCGATCGGGGGTCGATAGACCCTTTACGCCGTTTTTCGTCATTAGTGTATTTATTCTTCATTCAGTAGGTACACTACAATCATTCTGCTAGAGCTCCTCATATTAATGAATGTATTTAGAACTTCTTTGTACTACTAAATAATACAAATACATGTCGTAATTAAACTGTAAATTAGTATTCACTCGTCGCAATTAGTTACAAAAAGTAAGAACAGTACTAAATGCGAACAAATATCATAGGCTGGTGCGAAAATGAATTTGAAAACAAAATAACAGACAAGGACCAAGTGGAAAGTGTTGTTTAGGCTCCAAATGTAGGAAAAAAATTAATTAAAAATACGAAAACATTGAAAATGGTGAAATGGGGATGCAGTTGCAGATGCAGAAACGGTGAAACGTGACCTCCTACCGGAAAATGTTTAATGCGAAAGTTTTAGATCATAAAAATCTAAAACTTTTGCAATAAACACATATATGTATATATATACATGCAATAAAAACATACGGCCTCCAAAAACGTAAATATCGAATTGATGAATCAACACTTCTCCACGTCGTCTCCTTTTGACGGGACAACAAAAAATAACACGATACAATATCTTTCTTCTCTCCCAACTCTAGACTCTCCTACATTTGTCTTTAGTCAATTTTCCGATTGTGATGTTAGGAAGAGCATACTCTCTATTAAATCCAACGCAGTTGGTAGCGATGGTATCAGCCGTGATATGATCCTGCCTATCCTAGAAGAAATCATTCCTGTCCTTGTTCACTTATTTAACTTCTCCATGGCAACCATTACCTAAGAAATCAAATCCATCCAGTTTCTCCGATTATCGTCCGATTTCTATTCTACCCTTCCTATCTAAAACTCTCGAACGTCTTGTCTACAATCAAATTAATCCCTATCTTTATAAAAATTCCCTTCTAAATTCCCTCCAATCTGGTTTTCGTCCTGGACATAGCACCACCACCGCACTGGTTCATATCACGGACGATATACGGTCAGGCTTTGAGGATGGCAAGCTAACTGTGCTGGCGCTGCTAGACTTTAGTAACGCCTTCAACACTGTTGACTTTGACGTCTTGCTTGCCATAATGTGCTCTCTTAACATATCTCCGACGGTTGTTGACTGGTTTCGTAACTACCTGTTCGGGCGTCGGCAGCGTATTCGAATCGATGAAAGACTCTCTGGTTGGTGCACTACAACTGCTGGCGTACCACAGGGTGGCGTTTTATCTCCCTTGCTCTTCGCGGTTTTTATAAACTCTATTTCCAATAACTTAGCTTCATCTTACCACCTTTATGCAGACGATTTGCAGATCTATGCTCAAGCACTCGTGGAACAACTAGGAGCAGTGATCTCGATTATTAACCGGGATATAGAGCAGATTTGTACGTGGAGCAGGCAACACGGGTTAATAGTGAATCCATCTAAAACTCAAACAATCATTATCGGTGGCACTAGGACATTATCAAAAGTCGATTGGTCACATCAGCCCCAAATATACTGCGATGGGGCCTTAGTTCCGATCTCGAACACCATTAAAAATCTGGGAATTCACCTCGATAAAAACTTGTCCTGGGGTCCGCAACTACAAGAAGTCAGTAGGAAACTGTTTGCTTCTGTTGGATCTCTGAGAGGGCTGCGTAACTTTTTACCAATTACGACCAAAATTGCGCTTGCAGAATCCCTTCTTCTCCCAATCCTTGACTACGCAGATACCAGCTATCCCGATCTCACCGAAGACCAACTTAATAAGGTTGAGCGGCTCCAAAACTTTTGCATAAGGTTTATCTTTGGATTGCGCAAATTTGACCATATTTCTGAATTTCGGAATAAGCTTAACTGGTTACCCATTCGTCTTCGCCGGAATATTCATATCCTTTCACTATTATACAATATTCTCTTTAATCCCAACACTCCCCTTTATTTAAAGGAACGCTTCAGATTCCTACGTGATACGCATTCAAAGTCCTTAAGATCGTCAGAGAGCTTGACTTTGGAAATGCCGAATCACACCTCGACTTTTATGGACAAGTCATTTACAGTGCAGTCTATACGCTTGTGGAATGCTTTGCCACTGCCCATCAGACGAGCAAAAACACTGCCCTGTTTCAAAAGGTTGCTGAAGGAGCATTTCCAAAGCTGCTAAGCGAGGGTCCCTTCACTCAGTCAGAAATCTTTTATTTATCTCTCTTACTTCTATAGTCTCTGTTAAATGTATATTTTGTGTAATGAATTTATTGTGTTGTGATGTGTGTATGTGTTTAGTGTATATGTTTGAATTAGTTTGTATAATCAAATAGTCTTAATTTACAAAAAACTCCGATCTACAAACTGCAACCCCCTATCTCACTCCTATTCTCCTTCTCCATCCAGTGGTTGCCTGGAAGAGATCGCAAAACGCGATAAGGCCGCCAATTGTACAAATTTTAACATTTTACTCTCCATGTTACATTAATTTAAGTTTAGATATAAGACACACTATGTATACAAACTAATTTCTTCTTTTTATTATGTTTTTTTTTGTACAATAAAGAGTTATCTATCTATCT